GCACAGAACAAGAAGCACAGGGAATGCGAGAGCCCGGAAGGGGACGAGGTGTTTGCACTGACCCCGCAGACGGAGGAGAAATATAAAAAGATTGATGAGGAGTTTGATAAAATGATGCAGAGTTACAGGCTCGCAGTGAGTAGCTGGTGGGCCTGCACCTTCTGCCCCAGCCCCCTAGCAATGTAGACTGCAAAGCGGCGGGGGTGACGACTTTGCATGGCTTTGCTTATGGAGCCCTGCTCTGCCTTGTTCGTTGGCTCCCATCGGACGTCGCAAACCCAGGGCTAGGGAATGTCTAGGAGGCAGCATGGTCTGGAATGGTTAGAAACGGGCCTCTCAGTCTGATGCTCGGCAGACCTGGTTAGGTCGCCCTGCCAGCATAAGGCGGTGTTAAAGTGGGTTGAAATGCCCCTCCCCAGCTGGTATGGAGCTGACGGCAGATCCCTGCACTCACCTTTGCCTGCCAGAGTGGAGGCAAGGCTAGAACATAGCACATTACAGTTGTTCCCTGGTCTCATAGAATCATAGAACAGTAGATTTGGAAGGGACCTCGAGAGGTCATCGAGTCCAGTCCCCTGCCCTCACGACAGGACCCAGTACCGTCCAGACCATCCCTGATAGATGTCTGTCTAACCTGCTCTTAAATAGATGAAGAGATGGAGATTCCACAACCCCCCACTGGCAATTTATTCCACTGTTTGACTACCCTGACAGTTAGGAAGTTTTTCCTAATGTCCAACCTAAACCTCCCTTGCTGCAGTTTAAGCCCATTGCTTCTTGTTCTATATTTAGAGGCCAAGGAGAACCATTTGTCTCCCTCCTCCTTGTGACACCCTTTTAGATACTTGAAAATCACTATCATGTCCCCTCTCAGTCTTCTCCTTTCCAAACTAAACAAGTCTGATTCTTTCAGTCTTCGCTCTCTCTTGGGCCTGATTCTCAGTTACACCATTCTGGCCTTAAAAAGGGTGTAAATCACTTTTGTATTCACATGAAGACCCCTTTCCAGTGTTGGAGTGGTGAGAAAAGTTCTCGGGCCTGGTCTGCATTTAGTATAACTCTCTTGCTCTGAGTGAGGGTGTGTGTGTTGTTGTTTTCGGAAATCATTCTATCAGTCCAACATGCGGCAGCTGTTATAAAAGTGCTCTTCACTGGGGTAGTTTATTCTCCTACCCATGTCAGAATAAAGACAAACACTATAGCCGCATCTGTGCTAGGGGGATTGTACTGCTTACTAATCAGTGTAGCAGACCTGTCACTAGGGCTCAAATCCTCTAGTATATTTAGGTGCCTGACTCTATTGGTTTCAAAGGGAGTTAAGCACCTAAATACATTGGAGGGTCTGAGCTTTGCTGTCCAACTTTTGGCCCCTACGTTGGAAAAGTTCAGATCCCGGACCTTAAAAATCCATTGTTATTGTTTGGGCTGTCAGTGAGTCATCGTTAATTCACCCCGTTAATTCAAAAATAATCATTAATTGCCCTGTTAAACAATAGACTATCTATTGAAATGTACTAAATAGTTTGGATGTTTTTTCTACATTTTCAAATATATTGATTTCTGTTACAACACGGCTCACTTTATATTGATTTTATTACAAATACTTGCACTGTAAAAATGATAAACAAAATAAATAGTTGTTTTCAGTTCACTTCACACCAGTGCTGAGATGCAGTGGCTTATCGTGAAAGCATAACTTACAAACATAGAGGTTTTTTTGTTATAGAACTGCACACAAAAACAAAGCAATGTAAAACTTCAGAGCGTACAGTTCCACTTAGTTCTGTTAGACTAACAGATGTATTGGAGCATAAGCTTTCGTGGACAAAGACCCACTTTGTCAGATGCATGCACGAAGTGGGTCTTTGCCCACGAAAGCTTATACTCCAATAAATCTATTAGTCTATAAGGTGCCACAGGACTTCTCGTTGTTTTTGCAGATTCAGACTAACACGGCTACTCCTCTGATACTCAGTCCTATTGCTTATTTACAATGTCACCAGAGGTGAGACCAGGTGTTCGCATGGTACTATTGTATCCAATGTTGCAAAATATTTATGTGCCAGATACACTAAACCTTCTTATGTCTCTTCTTGCTTCGGTCAATATTCCAGAGGATATGCTTCCATGCTGATGAGACTCATTTAAAAAAATAACGTGTTAATTAAATTTGTCACTGAACACCATGGGGGAAGAACTGTATGTCTCCTGATCAGTTTAACCCACATTCTGCCATATATTCCATGTGATAACAGTCTCGGATGATGACCCAGCACGTGTTCATTTTAAGAACATTTTCACTGCAGATTTGACAAAACTCAAAGATGGTACCAATCTGAGAATTCTAAAAATAGCCATAGTACTCGACCCAAGATGTAACAATCTGAAGTGCCTTTCAAACTTGGAGAGGGATGAAGTGTGCCACATGCTTTCAGAAGTCTTAAAAGAGCAACCCTCAATGCAGAAACTACAAAAAATGAACCACCAAAAAAGAAATTCAACCTTCTGCTGGTGGCATCTGATGATGAAAAGGACTGTGGGTTGGTCTGCTCTGCTTTGGATTGTTATCCAGTAGAATCCATCATCAGCATGGATGCATGTCCTCTGGAAGCATGAAGGGACACATGTATCTTTAGTGCATCTGACACACAATACGTATCTTGCAGCACTGACTACAGTAGTGGCAATGTGAACGCCTGTTCTCACTTTCAGGTGACATTGTAGACAAGAAGCAGGCAGCTTTATCTCCTGCAAATTGTAATCAAACTTGTTTTTCTAAGCGATTGGCTGAACAAGAAGTAGGACTGAGTGGACTTGTAGCCTCTAAAGTTTCACATGGTTGAATGCAGTTATTTTTAGTACATACATCGACATTTGTAAGTTCAATTTCCATGATAAAGATATTGCAATACATTGCTTTTATTAGGTGAATTGAAAAAATAATATTTCTTTTGTTTTATTTTTTTACGGTGCAAGTATTTGGACTCAAAAATAAATATTAAGTGAGCATTGTGCACTTTGTATTCTGTGTTGTAATTGAAATAAAAATATTTGAAAATGTAGAAGAACTCCAAAAATACTTAACTAAATGATATTCTCTGATTGTTTAGCAGTGTGATTAAATCGTGCAATTAATTTTTATAATCGCTTGACAGCCCTAGTATTAATATAAGCCATGGTGGAGAAAGAAAGGGTCAGATTATGACAGTTGCACCTGCATTGAGATCAGCTCTGGTTTGGGAGCCACTGTGCTTTCAATCCATGTGAATCCATAAAGCTCCTGGAGGTGTCAGAAATCTAAGATGGCTTTAACCTGTGATTTCAGAGAGGAGGTCACTGAGGTGACTTCAGGACAGTGATGAAAAAGATTGTGTCAAGGGAGGAAAGAGGGGCATTGCAAATTAGTTGTTGGTTCAGGGCTACTTGACTTTGGAGACCCTGGGGGACACAATGATACTCACGGCACATGTCGAGGGCCGCAACTTAAGCGTGGTTGCATAGACTTGCAAATATATATGCAAATTGCTTCTTTCACACTGACGGGCATGAATACAAAGAGTAAGGCAAGATTACACAACACGCAGGCCCCATTTAAATCTGCTTTGCTAAGATTAATAAAATGCAATATTGACCCGATTTCCACCCATATGACAGCACTTTTAGGGTGCATCTAGACTACATTCCTCTTTCGAAAGAGGAATATGAATGAAGGAAATTGAAAATTCAAATGAAGTGCAGCTTTACAAATTTTGCACTTCATTTGCATTATCGTGACTGATCGCTTTTTTGAAAAAGGTTTTTTCGGAAAAAAAAGAAAGCAGTCTAGACGCGGTTCTTTCAAAAATAAACTGTTTTTCAAAAGAGCCCTGTAATCCTCATTTTTTCAGGAATAAGGGTTCTTTCGAAAAGAGGTTATTTTTTAAAGAACTGCGTCTAGACTGCTTTTTTTTCCGAAAAAAACTTTTTTGAAATAGGGAGGAAGCTTTCCAAGTGTTGGATTCAGAATAAAATATCTCAACTCCTTCCTGCTATTCCTTACAAGGTCACAGGAACTATTTTTTGTTTTCTTGAGACTTCTCTGTTGCAAAAGCCTAAGGCATTTTTGAGGGGGCAGAGAAGGGGGGGCTGACTCAGCCAGTAAGAGATTGTGGATGCTCATTTCCCCCTTGCCAGCCCTCTGGCAACATAAAGGGACCTTCAACTGAGTGTAATTGTCTCACTTGTATTATGCTGCTGAAGCAGTGTAAAGAGACCTCAGTGTAAATGAGATTCAGGCTCTCCTTCAGCCCGGGGATTGATGGTAGGAAAGGAACCAAATGATGGTAGGAAAGGAACCAAATTCCGACCCCAGACCAGATTACACGAAGGCTTCAATCACGCCACCGTGGCAGTAGAAATGGCCCTTAAAGTGGATGTAACTGAAATCCACACCTATTTACATGGCCAAAGTGGGGTAAACGGGTTTTGGGGCTTCTCTGCTTATGGTGTAGCTCCTGACTAACTCCATGTGTGGACACTTATGTTCTGGAGTAAGAGCGCCTTCTTTCGGTTTAGCGTCACTTCCTCTGAAAATCATGGTCTGCACTAAAGGGGAAAGTCAACTTAAGATACATTAATTACGTCGCTGGAGTTGACTTATCTTAAACCGTGTTTTGGTGCCCTCTACCCAATGGGAGGCCAACGGGAGCAAACGCTCCTGTCCACTTCCCTTACTCCTCATGAGTAGCAAGACTACCAGCACCGACAGGAGTGCCCTCAGTTCGAATGATCAGGTCTTCACTAGACCCTACTAATTCGAACCCCGGAAGATCGACTGCGGCAGTGTTGATCTTCTGCATAGTGCAGACAAACCCAAAGTGGGTTTAACTAGGCCCTCTTATTCTGGATTCAGAATGTCTACATGTGGAGTGATTTGATTACAACGGATGTGCTTTAAAGCCACACCCTACCTGAATTTGCATTCATTTTCAAGCTTAGGGTACGTCTAGACTACATGCCTCTGGCGACGGAGGCATGTAGATTAGGCTACCAGGCATAGGAAAATGAAGCGGCGATTTAAATAATCGCCTCTTCATTTAATTTACATGGCTGCCAAGCTGAGCTGATCAGCTGTTTGTCGGCTCAGCGCGGTAGTCTGAACTCGCGGGTGTCGACATCAAAGGCATTTGTCGACCACCCAGGCATGCCTGGTAGCCTAATCTACATGCCTCCGTCGCCAGAGGCATGTAGTCTAGACGTACCCTTAGACAACCCATAGTGTAAATGAGAATCAAGCCCCGGAATTGGATTTTAAGGAACGGTTAGCTCTTTCGGCTTGATTCTGCTTCATGCTGGTCATGTGGAGCTTTGCCGCCATCTTCATTGGTGCAAGAGTTGCAGGGTAAAAGTGTGCCTGTGCCATGTCCAAGGTCAGACTGAGACCACCAGTTGTCACTTCTGGCCCTAGCATCTGTGGGTCAGATTCTCCACTGCACTGCGCTTTGTCCTGTCGTTTACACCTGTGCAAAGTGGGTGTCAGATGCCAGAGGAGCATGTAGCATTTAGCGCTCACTTTGCCCTGGGGCGGATAGTTGCAGAAGAGCAGGGCAATGGGAGAATGGTGTGCTTATCTGCCTGTGGATTTTATTACTATTATTATTATTATTTGCATCATAGTAATGGTTACAGGCTGCAGTCCAGAATCGGGCCCCCATTATGCTAGGTGCTGTGAGCATATATAAAAAGAGGCAAGTCCCTGCCCCTCAGAGATCTTGCAGTCCGTCGCATCCCAGAAGCAGGGCGATTAATAGTAAATGGCTGTCATCTGCCTCCTTGACTACACCCCTTTTGTAACCGGATGGAATTTTGGATTGTTGGAGCAGTTGCTTTTCCCTTTTAACCGGCTTTTTGTGTGAGGAGAACTAACACCACTCATCTGCCGGGGAAGCGAATGACACCCTGGAACAGTGAAACTGGCCTTAACAGGGCTCTGCATTCGGAGTGCGTTTGAAACTGGCTTTCGAGAAAATGAAAAGTCATTGGCGTTTGTCTGATTAACGAACCTCCCCCTCCCCGGACTTTGGATTGTTGTGTTCATTCCAAACCTTTGCCTGCCATAACACTACTGGTCCCGGTGCTCTGTAATCAGCACTGACCCTGGGGAGAATGGAAGCTGCTGGTTGAGTTACCTTTTGCGTGTTCACAAGTCTCTTCCCAAATGGGCAGGAGCATGGGGATGATGAGTTTCTGCAACGGTGCAATGTGATAGTTAAGAGCTAAGGGCTGGATCTTGTCCTCCAATCCATAAATGGATTACATCAGAAAGTTTCACAGGTGCATCTGGGGAAGAACTAGACCTGGGTAGGTTTATGAACTGTGTTAATATAGATTCAGTGGTATGGGAGGACGCACATGAAATTGCTATCTTGAATTAATGCCCTGGGATGCTACCATTTTTCTTTTCTTTTCTTTTCTTTTCTTTTGCAATATTGCATTCTAGATGAGCATGGCCAAACATTTAAGGGCCTGATTCCCCCTCAGTAAGGATGTTGTAGCTGCCTCAGTGCTGTGTAGATGCAATGCAGACACTTCCTACAGAATGACGAAAGGAGTTCTTCCATGACTGTACCGTCTCGCTCTCTCTGAGGCCCCGTGTACATGACAGGGTAGGTTGATGTAAGCTGCCTTGCATCAACCTAGCTGTGGAAGTGTCTTCATGTCAGTTTGACTCCTGCTGATTTAAGTAGCTCTTCATAGCGATTTGGTAACACCACCTCTCTGAGCAGCGTGGAGTCATGGTTCAGGGAATTAAGTTGAAGCAGTGTCAGTGCAGATCACATGGACTGTTACTACCAGCTTTCAGCAGCCGTGCCCCATTGCCCACACTGGTGATGCAATTGGTGCAAGTGCTCCTGGTGAGGATGCACGCTGTAGACTCAAGGAGCCAAGCATGCGCATGCACAGTAGGGATATAAGCAACTAGGCTTATCGGGTAGTTGAGTCATTACTCGAGTAATTGCTTCTCTTCCCCTATTCCCCCCACCCCCGACCCACTGTCTCCATGAGAGGCAGGAAGAGGGGGGAGCAGGAGCCGGTTCCCCCCAGCACCATCTCCGTGGAGGGGACAGGGGAGGCAAAGGCACAGCAGGGGACCGGGCACGAGCCAGGACTCATCTGTCCCAGCTCATACCCAGTCCCCTGCTGCACCTCTGCTTTTTAAGTGTAGTAAGATCCACATGGCTCTTACTACATTTAAAAAGCAGAGGCACAGTGCCTGCGACCGGGCGCAAGCTAGGACAGCTGAGTCCCGGCTCGCGCCCGGTCCCCCATTGCGCCTCTGCCTTTTAAATGTAGTAAGAGCTGTGCGGCTCTTACTACATTTAAAAGGAGGAGCCGCAGCAGGGTTAGCTTCTGGGCTGGGAGCTAACCCTGCCGTGGCTTTGCAGTTTCCCCCCTTATCGATTCATTGAGTAGTCGATGGAAATTCCATCGAGTACTCGATTAGTTGATTAAACACAATTTAACATCCTTAATACACAAGCAATGCGATAGCTAGGGATGTTAGCAGCTAGTCAGATAACTGTACAACCAATCAACGATTGCTTATTGGTTAACGGTCCCGGTTAATCCCAACTATCCCCTCTCCCCTCCCATGCTCTGCATTTAAACAGATGCAGGTGCAAATCAGTGACATAAGAAAGAGTAAACGGGACAAGTCTGGCTTTAATAGGAAATGAGGTAGGTGGATCTATCCCTCAAGCCAGGGGCCCAGCATTACAGATTAAAGGTGCTTCTGTTGCTTTGGGGTTCAGAGCTCCAGGTCTTTCCATTGACTGGCAGCTCCATGAATTGGTAGGAGCTATCTATAGCCTGCTTCTCTGAAGAAAGTCGCACCTGGCGACTAGGCCGATCTGTCACCCTTTCTAGTACAGTAGCCGCCTAAAGGCTCCAGTTGAGGTCAGCTGTGTATTTGATCTGGGTCCCAGGCTCCTAGGCACTAGTGCCACATGGATCATAAATAATAACCGGGACCTTTTGTGCTGCTTTCACACAACGGGACGAGACAGGCCCCCATGTGCTAGCTGTTGTACAGACGCCTAGTAAAAAAGGGCTGCTGCCTTGTAGAATACACAAAGGAAGTGTTGTTATCCCTGCTGAAGGGGTGAGAAGTCGAGACACAGAGAGATTAAGTGACTTGCCTAAGGTCTTTCATAGAGTCTGTGGCAAAGGTGGGAATGCTCCTGTGTCCGAAGGTACATTAGTACTGTAACCCCAAGATGGTGTTCTCCCTAGAATGAGCACAGGGGCTATCAGACTTCCTACTAATAGGGAGAGAGGAGCAATGTCCGAGGAAGCTCTTGGAGGCTGGGTCTGTGGGCCTCGCAGAATCTGGATTGGTGACTCTGGGTGCTGTGGGAATAAAAGAAGCCGCTGTGAGTAGGGCCCTGGGATCTGACACGCATGTGCAGAATCTGCAGGATCTTTTTGCTGAGAGAGGTTCACCGGGATCCTCCGCTGTGTAAGGCGGGGCAGCTCCACTGACTTCCGAAGAGCTGCGGTCACTCACACCAGCGGGGGATCTGGTCTCCACCGGGCTCTGTTTACCTCCCTCCAAGGTGGAAGGGCAGTTTTAGCCCTGTTTCTCCAGAGCCTCTCACGCTGTTCCCCTCTCTAGCATTCCAGGGGAGCCGCTTTGAGATGTTTCCAGCGCTCTGTGAGCTGTTCTAGAGCCACTTGGCTGAGCTCTGGAGGGAAATTAATGCAGGACTTTAGTCACGCCCCTCTCCCCTCCGAGCAGCTTGGGCATGCCCAGAGGGACTCCTGTTTGCCCTTCTTTCTCTCTCTTCCCGGAGGGGATCCATATCCCCCCCATGTGCCGTATGCCAGATTCCCTCCTGTCCGCCGCCATTTTCACCAGTGTAAAGTGGCTGCTGCACATGTTGGAGGGCAGTAACAGAACCGGGTGCAGCTTTGAACCGGGTGCATAGCTGGTGTCGATTGGTGTTGTGGCCTTCCAGGACGCGGTGGTGCCGTGAACCGCACAGAAGGCTGCTCCTTGGTGAAGTGAGGGCCTTTGGGCATCTCCTCGGTGCCGGGCCCTGCGTTCATCTGCCTCTCTCTTCAGTCTGCAGTGCCCGCGCCGAACTTCGCCATGCCCGTGACGGTGCCGGTGACCAACCAAAACACGTTACAGTTCAGCAACCCGGGGGGCTCCTTGGTGACCCAGTCCTTGGTGACCTCCTCATTGACGGACCCCCGACTTCTCTCGCCACAGCAGCCAGCCCTGCAGAGAAACTCCGTGTCTCCTGGTTTGCCGCAGAGACCAGCCAGCGCGGGTGAGTGTTCAGCCTACTGCTCAAATAGCCAAGAGAGGGCACCAGTGTTTTCAGCCTGTTGTGCATCTCCCCGCTCACTCCCTTCTAACTGTTTGTGCAGCACCGAGCACACCTGCTGGGGGGGTGGGGCACAGTCCCATCTTGTGGCACTGAGACCACTCACAGAGAGAAGGAGCATGCACTACGCAGCCTTAGCTGTGGGCCAGCTGGCTTTGAGTTTCTGGCTCCTGCCGCAGGCTCCAGAGGGCCCAGGTTCGATTCTGCCTGCTGGTGTTACACTTCGGGATGTGAGCGTTTAGTCTTAACCGATCAACCTGGGCGTAGCCTAACAACAACATGCACTCCTCCCCCTGCCCCGCTGCTGCCTCTGTATCAGAGGCAGCAAGGATGGGAGAGGCAGGAGCTAGTACCTGTGAGGAGCTGGCTTTTAAGCTGGTTTCCTATGAGCACCAGGGGGGGGGGGGAAGCAGGAGGAAGCAGACAGGAGCCAGTGCTTGGGGGGAGACTGCTTAAAAGCTGGTTCCCCATGAGCACTGGCTCTGTGAAGCCGCCTGCTCCCCCCTTTGCCCCGCACTGCTGCCCCTGTATCAGAGACAGCAACATGGGGAGGATAGGTTGCCGGCGCAGCCTCTGCCTATGAGGAGCTCGTGCCCCCCCTAGACAGAGGCTAA